TTCGAGACGACACGGCGACTGGTCGTCGAAGTATGTATAAAGTAATTTTGCATGTTTTAGGATAAGAATTACACATATTATAGAGAAAATGTCGGCCAACTGTTGTGTCGTTTACGGAAAATAATTAAGATTTAAGTAACAAACAACATTAAACTTTCAAACCATTCTCATTCTACGGAATTAAACGTTATTAAGTGATGTTAGCAAGTTCGCGAAGAAAGAAACGTGCTTCGAGAGAATGTTCGATAACACTCTATTCGTCGAAACTATCTAATCTGAAACGCCAAGGAATAAAATATTCGATATATTATATTTCATAATTTCTCAATATCACAATTTCGAAGTCAACGGATCGGTTGGCATGCGTGTTTCGAATTATTTAGGGACTATTTCGCACGGCGTAACGCGCGCGGCGTCCTGCGTCCTGCGTCCTGCGTAAGGTCACCGTACCAGTCACTAACATTCGCGCGGCGACACTCGAGCGAGCCAGCAGCGTCGTATTACCTTTCGAAACACGATCACGGTAGGTGCGACGAAGCTCTAATCGCGATTATCCTGTATCAATATTTAACATGCGGCCGTACGATGTTTCCCGTACAATACTACTTTGATATTTTGGCGATAATTCGACATATTCCTTGAGTTTCTCACTACTTTGAACTCGCTCATTTACTTGCTTAAGCTCGATCGACAGAACGCAGAATGCAGGTAAAACGTATTTCATTGTAATAAATTGCAGATCGCGGTACAAAACGTTGAGTGATGCTGGCAAGTTAACGAAAAAAGAAACGTACTTGGAGAATGTTCGATAACGATCTATTCGTTGAAACTATTTAATCTGAAACTCAAGGAATAAAATATTCGATATATTATGTTTCATAATTTCTCAATGTTAGAATTTTGAAGTCAACGGATCGGTTGGCACGCGGCTTTCGAATTATTTAGGAACTACTTCGCACGGCGTAATATCGCGCGACATCCTGCGTCCTGCGTCCTGCGTCCTGCGTAAGGTCACCGTACCAGTCAGTACCATTCGCGCGACAACACTTGAGTGAGTTGGCTGCGGCGTATAGTTTACGTCGTATTATCTCTCAAAACGCAATTATAATAGGTATGACGAAACTCTAATCGCGATTATTCTGTA